AAAAAAAAAAAAAAAAAGACCCACCACCATTAATTATATCTAAGATTTTCCTAAAATGAAAAATCTGCTACATTATATAACTATAGCTAATGTCCATAATTGAAAAGTGGAAAATGAATAAAACTTAAGCCTAACTGCAGGAAGGGCATTCTGAATACGCAAAATATGTAAACTATTTAAATATAAGATGTCATGGATTTTAATATATTCAAATAATTTAAATTAATAAATGAAAGTATCTTGAAAAAACATCTTTGGACCTCACTTGAGTAAAAGATCAGATTTATTTAAAATCAACATGTGAACTGTCAGTAAGAATAGAAATCATAAGCAGTGGCGACAGTGTTTATTCATGGTCCAAGCAGGACTCCCCATTTTGGCCCTGGCTCACAGGGATTACTATCCTGGCTCACAGGGATTGTGCACCAGGCAGGCAACACGTCTACATAGAGTTACTGCCATGTGATCAGAAAGGGCTCAGAGCAGGGACTCCCGCTGATCCACTGCCACTTGTGAACCCTGAGGTCAGAACAGCTGAAGCTGGATGAAGAGGAAGGTATCTGTGTACTAGGGTATCGTGTTTATGAGTCCCTTCTGTTCTAGACATTTTGAATCCTTTACCTTATCTAATTCTCACAAAAAACCTATGAGAAGCACTGGTAGCCCAATTTTACAGGTAAGAAAAACTGAGGCCAGAGAAATAACTGGCCCCAAAAACCAAATTTTTTTGAGTGAAGGAGAAAAAAAATTAAGAAAAAGAAAAACACACGAGTCAAAAATGAGTCTGTGTACAAAATCTGAGCATAGTGCATTAAATTTTAAGTAATTATTTTTCAATAACAAAATCGAGAAATACTCCCTAAAGTATATAGATTAAAAAAAAAAACCTTATATTAGTGAACAACAGCTTTATTTCTTATTATAATCTATGCAAAAAAAAAAACAGTGGAAAGATATCTTTTAGGATATTTAAAAAACTATCAATGGAGAATTCTATACCAAGCCAAAATATACTTCAAAAATGAAGGCAAAAATACAGAATTTTTTAAACAGAAGCTGATATGAAAATTAGGATCTACACAAAAAAATGAATACTAAAAACATGAGTAACAACTAGATTTTTTTTTATTTTAAAGTTTCTTCAATAGATTGTTTAAAGCAAAAACAGTAACAGTGTATTGTGGGGCTTATAATGTACATAGTAGTAAAATGTATGTCCACAGTAGCATAAAGGATGGAAGGAGATACTAAGTGGAAATATTATAAATGCTATTAAACATGAGTGGTAGAATATTATTTGAAAGTCAAAGGTGTACACTGTAAACTCCAGGAGAGGGTTCTCAACCTCAGCACTATGTATATTGTGGGCTGCATAATTCTTTGCTGTGAGAGACTATCCTGTATCTTGTGGGATCCTTAGCAATATCCTTGGCCTCACCCACTAGATGCCCCAAGTGTGGTAACTGAAATTACCTCCAGATCTTACTCAATATCCCCTGGTGGGGAGGGTAAAAATGCCCCTAGCTGGAGGTGAAAACCACTAAGCTAGACTAATCAAAGAAAAGAAAGGACACACACTACTGATACCAGGAATGAAAGAGCATCATTACATCAAAAAATATGAACTCAACTTTATGACAATAAATTCAATTAACTTAGATGAAATGAGCAAATTCCTCAAAAGATGTCAATTATCAAAGTAGACCTAAGAATAAACAGAAAATGTATGTAGCTTATATCTATTACAGAAATTGAATGCATAGTTAAAAATGTTTCCACAAAGAAAACTGCATCCAGTTTCACTGGGTGAATTCTACCAAATTTGAAAGAGAAAAAGACAAACGTTTATTAGTTTCCTAGGCCTGCCATAATGAAGTACCACAAACTGGGTGGCTTACACAACAGTATGTATTATCTCACAGTTCTAGAGTCTAGAAGCTTATTCTCAGCTTCTGGTGGCAGTCAGAAATCCTTGGTGTTCCTAGGCTTATAGCCGTGGCAACTCACTCTGCCTGTTTTCACTGACATTCTCCCTTCCCATGTCTGTGTCTCTTCTTATAAGGACACTAGTCATACTGGATTAAAGTACACCCTAATTGAGTATGACCTCATCTTAACACTATGTCTGCAATGACCCTATTTCCAATTAATGTCACATTCTAAGGTACTGTGGTTTAGGACCTCAACCTAGTTTTTAGGGGGGCACAATTCAACCTATAACACAATCCCATACAAATTCTTCTCAGAAAATGGAGGAAGGGAATATTTCCCAACTCATTTTGAGGCTAGCATACACTTAAATACCAAAACCAAAGAGTTAATAAGCCTTTGGAACTCAGTATCCTTTTCATTAACAGATCATTAGGGTGGAGCAATGCCCATCCCTGAGGTCTAGGTTTTTGAAGGGGGATGGAGTGCAGGGGAGAGTGGAGAGAAAGGGACAACAGGTGGATAGAATGCAGGGGAGAGTGGAGAGAAAGGGAGGACAGGTGGAGAGGGATGTATAATTTTAAAATCTCCATAGAGACAGCCTACTGGAATTTTCCTTAAAACTGCTGGTTTAAAAATGGAAAAATGATTTCAAATTAATAAAATTTAAAGGAAGGTGCCTGCATACATCTAGGTATTTATCTATCTTAAAGGCTCACTCTAGGTGAACTTTTAATAATGATAATAATTAGTAGTACATAATTTTAAAAATCATGTCCAACTTCCATATGGAAGGCAGTTCACCACCCTGATGCAATAGAGCCCAAAGAAGTAAGACTGGTTGGGTGTTCTCACCCTTTCTTCATGAGATGAGATGGGCCTGTTCTTACTCACTGGATTGTGGCAGCAGCTGTGGAAAAGGAATAATCCAAACTAGATTTTGGAGGAATAAACAATGGGAATTAGTAACAAGTGGATACTGCCATTTTGTACACAAGGAATAACCCCACCGACAATGGAGGTACATTCTATCAATTTCTGACTGTAAGGGACTTTCACAGTAATGCTGCTGGTATCTGAGATCTGGACATACACGGGTATGAAAATAGTATAATGTGCATAAGCTGACTTTAAAAAAATTACTTCTTTCGCATTGTTCTGTTCACATTATTTTCACTAAGCTTCCACCTAAGGTTCTCATATTACATATTGCAACACTAATAAACACCAAAAAAAAAAAAAAAAAAAAAAAAAAAAAAAAAAAAAAAAAAAAAAAAAAGAACAATAAAGCCAAAGGGTACACTGCAGTTTCATTTCCTTAAAAGCCAACAAAAGTGATTAATTACATGTTGGCTCACCAACCTTTAAAAAAAAAAAAATCAAGACCAAACAGCACAAGGATGATTTGTGGAAAAATTGCTCTCTAAAGTCTTCCGATAACTAAGCCATTTAAAATTTAGACAGACTTATTCTATAATTTCCTTTTGTTTGACGTCGTTGGAAAGGGGGCAATAAGAAGGTCAAGCTGTTTTTTCCAGAGTTTTATGAAAGGCTGTTGCTATATCCGTTTAAAGAACATTTAGAGAATAACAAGTGTTCTTTTATTCGTCATATTCTCTTCCCCCAACTTGTGTTATTTTATAGCTTAATATATAGGACATGAAACTTTTTTTTCCACTAACAACATATACTGATGTGAGCTAAGGTATACAAATAAGATTCTTTTTTTTTTTTTTTTTTTTGCTTTTTAAATGTAATATTAACTAATGCTGGGTCTATTCAGAGATTTCCATTCTGTTACTTCAGGAATTTATAAGGCAAGGCTGACCTCAGTATACTATATACTGCTGAGAAAAGAATTTTGTCCATTTTTAAAGGGTCTCAATAAAAGCAGGACAATCAGGTATTTTATGGCTGGCCTTTCTGTTAGTACTAGAAACCTAACAACCCCTTCTCACGTATGAAAATGGATTCAGATGACCAAAGTGCAATTAATTTAATCTGGGTCAAGTGTTTTCCAAGCTTGACTAATGAGAAGAATCATCTAGGGTGTCTGTGACAAGTACACATTCAAATCCCAGTCCTATCCCAATCATTTTGAAGCCCGGAACTCACTCTTTCTCTCCATCCATTCATTTATTCATTTTAGAGAGAGAAAGAGAGAGAGAACAAGAACAGGGGAGAAGGGCAGAGGGGGCAGAAAGAGAGAATCTTAAGCAAGATCCATGCTCAGTGCAGAGCCCCACATGGGGCTCAATCCCACAGTCATGACTTAAGCCAAAACCAAGAGTCAGACACTCAATGACCGAGCCACCCAGGCACCCTGGAACTCAGTATTATAAACAAGAGTCCTTGTTCAGTCTTAAGATCCA